ACGTGGACTCTGTCTCTCTTTATACTACGTCACCGACACTTTTCCCTGTCATCATCACGACGACCACTAGATGTCGCCTAGCAACAAAACCTGACAATGATGTCATAATGACCTGTGGGCTCAAAATAATCAAATGTGACAAAAGAGAAATGAATTGTGACAAACTCCCAGGACTTTTTATTTTGTGTTGATTCACAGCTGTTTACAGTATGGATCACTGTCATGTGACCACGTTCCCTCCTCCCCGTCCTCTCAGGCAGATTGGATGTTCTCCATCGTCTGGAGTGTCCCCGTGACCTGTGGGAGAGTTATTGATCTGAAGTCTGCAGCTGCCAGTTCTCTGATTGAACCTTCGTATTGATTAGACATTTCTGTCAAAGAAAATCTTCATTCATCATTGGTTCATTAATGAGTTTTTAACCTTCTGCACTGGAGCTGACCTGCACACACACACACACACACACACACACACAGTGCACAGTCTCAGTCATTCTACATAATGTGTTTTAATCTGTTATATGAAGGTTGTGAGAAATGAATGAAGCCTGGATTTAATAAAACGAGCTTGTCAGAGTAAATTAGAAAATTAGAAATTCAAATCTTTAGTCAATTGAAAGATTCATCACAATGATATATGATTATGAACATATATATATACAGTATATATATATGGTGATGAAATAATCATCAGCACCATGAATGTGTTTCCACCTTGAACTGCAGTGAACCAATCACAGTCTCAGATTCAGGGTTTCATACGTCACAAACCTCAGGAACCAATCCTGTCAGCTTGTGGGGACGGGGGGCGGGGCTAAATACACCTGAAACCTTGTCAGTACAGCGAGAGAGAACGTTAGCATTAGCACAACCGCTAACACTGTGTCAGCCACTGCCAGTTGTAAGATAACAAACAACATTAACACATAAAAGATGCTAACTATGCTAACGGTTCTGACCCGTCTGCTAGTCTCTGGTTCTGGTCTCAGACTCCTCCTCTGAGTCTGGGTCTGACTGAGGCTCAAACATGTGGCTGAGTCTCTCTGATGTTTCCTCCTCTCACCATCTTGATGCTCTCTGCTCTTTCACCTGTCCACCTGGAGACAGCAGGTGGTGGGCGGGGCTCAAGGCCTGATCCAGCTTTATCAACCAGGAAGTAAGAGGAGATGAAAACAGAAAATATGAATCACAGCAGAGGATTTGTACCGAGTTTAAAACACGTCTGGAGGAACAGGTGTGTAACTCCTGAGTATCCACAGCCAGGTTGCTGATTTGAGATTCTGCAGGTCAGCCATCTTGAATGAGACAATGTAAAAACTAGTCTTTCAAGTCTCTTAACCTGAATGAGTCATTAAAGTCTGAACAGGCGCAGACATGCGGCCATCTTGTTTTCACGTTGTCCGTCTCGTTGTGGTGGACACGATGTCTCCGTAACACCTCGACAGAACTTCTTCAAATGTGACACAAACATTCACTAGGACTCAAGGATGAACTGAATAGATATTTAGTGGTCAAAGGTCAAAGGTCAAGGTCACAGTGACCTCACAAAACACTTTTTAGCCATTACTCAAGACAAAATTTCCCCCAAACGCTTCATATTTTCTGTGACTCTGGATGAACAGGGATGTAACCTGAGACTAGACGAGTGATGGAGGCGGTACTTCTAGTTAGTGTGTTCTAGGTGTGTCCCAGCAGGTGCAGTTAAGTTTTCCAACATGTTGCTGATGGCAGCTGAAACAGAAACAGAGAGTGAAGCAGAGGAAAGAGAGAAAGCATCAGTGTTAGAGAGACAAAGAGACTCAGTGTAGAAATGTCGTAAATAAGAGAAACTGTCACTCTTGTATATTTTAATCTCTTACCTTGATTGCGAGGACAGATTGCCTTTCACGGCGCTGCAGATGAAGCGCGGTGAACTGGATTGAATTGAAGTGAGATAATATCCCATCAGCCCCATGAAAGGGCTCGATGTGTCTGCCGCAGTTATCCACCTGCTGTATTAGTTATGTAACTCCACTGCGCCTCAATACACCACCTGTGACAGGAGGTGACAGCAGGTTACACACACACACACACACACACACGCACACACACACACACACACACACAGAGGAAACCACACGCCTCTGTGTTAAAAGGCTCGGAGCATCCTCAGGTTCCACCGCGGTCTCCGTAGTAACAGCGTAAATGTCCATGGCAACCGTGTCTGTGTCACTACTGATGACACAAGCTGCGTCCGACATCACTCCGCTCTCCACTCACTCACCACCTCTATCAGTGTGACTACAGCAACCGACAGTAGTAGCTCACTGACACACCTGGAGGAGGTGAAGGGGAGTAAGTGTTGTTGTCAGTGAGAGGAAACACAGATCACACACACACTCAGGAATCATCCACTGAAACATCAACAGGCAGAAACTGGTGTAAAGTTCTTTAACGGTGATTATGTTTCAGTGAGACGTTTTTATCTTTTTACTTTTGTCTGTTCAAGTCGGTTGCACTCTACAATCAGACTCCCCCTATAAAGGATTTATCAGTGGTTTATAGCTAGTTTATTAATTAGCTCGTTAACACTTTGTAAATCATTTATAAGCTGTTAAAACACATTAGATAAAAAGGCCAACAGTGACCTGTTTCCTGCCAGATAGTGAGCCCACACGTGTCATGTCTCTTTGTTTTCTCCATCATCAGCGTCTGTAGCTGCTGCTTCGTTACTAACAATTAATCAACATCTCAGTGGTTAAAGAACATGTAACTGGAGAAGAGGAGCCTCATTGTAAAGTGTAAAACACATCAGCGTTCTTTAATGACTTGCTTATTTATTACTGGTAACTCATTAATAAATGGTTTTTACGCTTTATGAAAAGGCTCCTTTCACCAGTTATAAATGGTGGTAACTCGTTAGTCACATTAATGAGCCTGAATCAATGTATGAAAACTGTTATAACCTGTTTTTAATTGTTTATTTATGATTTATAAAGTGTCGACAACTTAATGAAGAACCTCGTTATTATATATGTCATATTTAAGCACTTTGAGGTGAAAGGAGCTGTAATATATCATTAGATATACATCATATATATATATATATGGCGTCCTGTGGTGATGAAATCACAGACAGTAAAAATTTAACTTCTGGGTCCTCGGCTCGAGTCTGGCCCGTATTCTTATACTCCCAGTCACCGATCACCTTCAACCAATCACCTGTGGTCAATACTCTGGTGTCTGTGGCTGAGAGAAGCGCTGTGTGCTGTGTAGTGTAGCCCCGCCTCCCACCAACAGGCCGCCAGAACAAAAGAAAAGATGTCTGTGTGTGAGACTGATAGAACGTACGGCATCTGAACTGTCAAAACATGATAGATAGATGATCAGTATCAGTATCGGTGGCAGAACCATGTGATCGGAGCATCCCTAATGTGGGCCAGATCCGGGCCAGAGGAAAACAGGCATGTGGCCCAAGTAAGGAGCAGATTTTATTTCTATCAGCGGTGGATGAATTGAGACTCAGACTCAGATCCAGTTCCCTCAGTCAGGTCTGAAGCTCTGGAGCGTCAGTGATCATTGACTTTCAGTTGTTCCACTTAGAGTCTCTGAGAAATTAATTATTGATGTTCGACCTCGTTACAAACTCAACAGTTAAAATCCTGGATGTCCGAAACTTTATTGACCAACATGTCTCAGCACTGTGCCGTCAACTGAAAACCACGAGCTGAGGAAGAGGAGGGAAAAACACCTGAGCTTCAGACTGAACAGTCCCGTCTGAGTGACGGTTGTGTTGACCTCTGTCGACCTCTGTGTGGCGTCGTACTGATGGCTGTGTGACAGCAGCAGATAACGGATCATACGGAACCAGGTCCAGGAAGCGGAGCAGTGACCCAGATCTGCCAGAGCGCCGTCCCACATGAGCACGACGGAAATAGAACCGTTCTAGGTCGCTCCTTAATAACTGCACTGTGTGTGTGTGTGTGTGTGTGTGTGTGTGTGTGTGTGTGTGTGTGTGTGTGTGTGTGTCTTTCTAAAGCATCTTCATCTCCATTACGGTGATTGAAGCGCCTGTGAAGAGAGAGACAGAGCTTGTCTCTAACAAGGGAAACTGATCCTGGATCAGATCAATCACATAAAATATCAGCTGTTTATTATTTTCTATTAGCAATTTAATTGATCTATTTTTATCTTTAATCCATTCGTCTGAGAAAACCTTCAGTAAAACACACAGAGCTCCTTCATGAGAGAGACCGCATCAACTGTTCACAAACACTACTGTCACATGCTCTTATTCTGTGTGTGTGTGTGTGTGAGAGAGAGTGTGTGTGTGTGTGTGTGTGAGAGAGAGAGAGTGTGTGTGTGTGTGTGAGAGAGAGAGTGTGTGTGTGTGTGTGAGAGAGAGAGTGTGTGTGTGTGTGTGTGTGTGTGTGTGTGTGTGTCCTCTCTATTAAAAGAAAACAACTTTCTTGTCCTGTCTGAAAAACAAGGTCAAAGACCTCCTGTTAGAGCACTTCATTATAAACTCAACCTCCATCACCACCCACACTCACACACACACACACACACACACACTCACACTCACACTCACACACACTCACACACACACACACACACACTCACACTCACACACACACACACACACACACTCACACTCACACACACACTCACACACACACTCACACTCACACACACTCACACACACACACACACACACACAGGACACCTTGCAGCTCGCAGCATC